CCAGTTACGGGGCTTAAGCTGTTCCCGTTGGAACACGCAGCTTTAGTTCGGAGGCTGATCTTAATTCTTCATCTCTAATAGCCTTTTCTGGTGTGAAATCCTGGCTTTAGTGACGTCAACAGGGTTTCAGCTCTGAGGACTTCCTGCCTTTTGAACTGCCGTTTTGAGAAGCGCATCGTTATTTTGTGGTACTGCAGCGCTCGTCCCCGCAAACAGGGATCACATCACGTGCTGTCTATCTACAACATTTCTGCCTGTGAAATGTAAACCCAGGCAAATACCTTTGAAAAATGTTGTGAATAAAACTCAAAAATCAAGAACAGCTAAAGGTGACTCTCACACTAATACTTATCTTTGTCTGTTCCAAATTAACTAGCTGAGCTTTTCTAAGTATTATAATGTTGGAGTGATTGGCATGCCAGAACTGAGATTTTATTTCTCCTTGTAGGGGATCTGACCAATGGCTGGACATATAGATCAGCTTTACATTGTATTTCCAAGATCAAGTACTTTTATAAATGCGCGGTTTCTGTGGTTTTGTCTATCGAGAAAGAATATTCTAGATCACTCATAAATTAATTGATAAATAGTCTGTGGTATGTGGAGCTCATTGCAGTTCACCCCATTGCTTCACTGCGGCAGTACTTTTCCCTCTCCATAGTCAATGCTGAAAGCAACTTCTTTTATGAAGTCTTCTCTTAGCTTCTCTACAGTTATGCTGAAGACAAAGGAGAAGGTTCTGTAAATTGTGTGCGGGTTGTTACCCTGGATTTATTTTAATTTTTCTGGAATACTTTTTTTCCCCAATTTTGCTCAAAGTCAGCTTGAACTTCAAATGCCTCTTCACACCATTACCTCCACACCAGTAGCAGAAGGGATGGACTAATCCAGTGGCCTGGTCCTGCTCACTGCTGTGGCTGCCTGAGCTATCGCCCTCCCAGCACATACTGGTGTTTCACCAGTCTAGTGTTAGTTCATAGAGGATATCTGGGAGAGAGGTGGAATGAGTACCAGAAGACAAATCCTGTTCTTAATTTCTTCTTTATCAATTGTGCTTTTATGTCTGATATCAAGAATTGCAACCAAATTATCTTGATTAAATTACTCATCCTCCTGTAAGGACATAATACCGTTTCAAACACTTCTCCAAGGGATGCTAAAGCTGGAGAAGGATGCTCCAGGGGACTGGATTCAGATCCTTGTGTTCTCAATTGCCCTGCAGACCAATGATTTCCGAAAGCACTAAAGTCCAAAGCTCTGACTTTGGGCTCTTGTAAGATAAGCATAAAACTTCTGAAGTAAATGAGAAGCTGCAGGCAAATCTGGAGTCTGTGGCTTTTAATAATTATGGGCCTCTATCCGTACTTTGGTGAAGAAGTGACATCCAGGTTGCAGGTACATACTGCGTACGCAGAAGTAGCATTCAAAGATTGTCACACAGACATAAGGTCAAATACTTAGGAATAAAAGAAAAGATAGCTTTAATCACTGGTCTTCACTAAAAACCTGCTGAGTATCCTCTGAACACACTGAGAAGCTAATTTTCAATGTCATGTTCCCCAAACTAGAGGAAGTCATTCTTTTTCGAGGGACTGATGTGAAGACAATCTTCAAACTGTTACCACTGACATCAGGGCAAATTCATACTCCCTTCCCACTCACCCATCGCATGGAGGAGCTGAGGGCTCTTCTGGCAACATGATTTGGGAAAAGTCAAGCAATAGCCATTTATGGGTTCAAATGTATATTTTCCAAAGTGGTTTGCATTTGAGGAACCCATGTTACAGAAGGAATTTGCAACTCTCCTGATCACCGTTGTTCCCATTTGTAAATACTGTGATGTCTTAGGTAAATTTGGTCAGGAAACGGATCCTCTTTATTTTTAGTGTCTTCATTTTGGGGGAAAAAAAACAACAAACCAAACTAAATCCAGCCACCCCTCCCCCCCTTCCCCCCCGATTTTTTTTTTAAAGAGGATCCTTTCTTTAATAAGAAAACTCTCAAAAATGTTAATGGATTTTTTTTTCATTAGTCTGTGGGTGAAATGTTTTTGGTTATATTTGCTTAAGCAGCGGCTCCGCTCCCCCCCACACTTTAATGAAAAACAGATTGTAAAATATTTTGAATATTTTTTGGGGTTTTTTTTTAGGATGTGGAACACACAATGAATTGCTAAGTGGTTTTGTTGTCTACAAAGATTTTTGGGAAACAGCAGTTTGTCATTAAGAACCTAATTGTCATGCATAAAATAGCTCAGCCGTTTCCATGGGCTGAGTGGTCTGTCCCTGTGAATCGTGCTGCATGTTCAGGGTTTTACCCTGTACAACCTGGTGGATAGACTACAAAAAATAAATCTGCATTTTGCAGAGAAGATTTTAGTGATTAAAGTTAATTCCACTAGCCTTTATAACAGTCTGTTGTGCCATTTTGATTTTTTTTTATTTATTTTCTTTTTCTTCTGTGCAAATGTGTAAGTTCCCAGTCTGTGTTCATGGTGTGGAATATATCATGAGTGACTGTTGTCTTACACCTCTGGAGATGGGCAGCAGTAGACGAGAGGGCAGCATATAATCTCACTAGTATGGTGGAAAAAGAAAAATGAATGTTAAATGTTCCCTAGGTCAGGTGCACCCTTGGGAAGACATACCCTGCGCATCTGAGACTTATGCCGCTACCTTTTCCTCAAGAGAAAAATAAATACTGGTGGCTCAAAATGGCAATTTCTACTACATTTTTATTTAATGCTTTCTCTTCTGCGCCCGCTTTACTTAGCTAGAAAGCATTCTTCTCCTTGAGTAGTTGTTATTAATGTGTTCTGTAGGTTTTCTTAAATATAAAATAATATTTGTACTTAAAGATTGCACCCACAGAAAATATTTTCCAGTTAAAATCATCCTTAGCTGCAGCTAAGCTAAAGTGGGTTGTATACACTGTGATAGAGCACACAAGGGCCATTCACTTTTTAAATCAAGTATTGCCTTGAAATATTGGGAAAAATGCATGGGAATTTTGGAAAGGGGCCTTCAGAACAATGCTGAAGCTGTCAATGTGAACTTCGTCATGATACTAACAAACCCACCCCCAGCAAAGGGAGCAGTATAAACATTAAGGGAAAATTGTACTTTCCTAATTGCAACAGTACAGCTCTTTTAGGGGCCTGACACCAAGCTTGCTTCCCCCAGGGACCATGCTAATTACAAGGATTCTCCTGCTATAAAGTCAGGCTCCGTGGAGAAACTCTCACTCCGTGGAGACCACGTGGGAGCCCTGGGCCAGTGGAGCTGGTTTCCAGGTGAGCAGGGCTGGTGGGAATGAGGGCACTACTGACTCTTTGGAAAACGGGAGGGAATAATGTGATGTACTTTGAACTCTAATAAACCAGACTCTCAGAAGTGATTTGAAGCAAAGACCAACTACCACATTTTCCTCAAGTGGAGAAAAGTGATGCAAAGGCAGTGAGAGACGGACGAAGCAGCCAGACTGGGGAGCAGTGATGGCTTATGGTGTGTTTGTCACCACTGATGTATGTTTGTTTTCCACTTCTCACCTCCCTGTGCAATCTCAGGCCATGCTCTGTACTCAGTCCTTGTTTGTATTTGATGTCGCAGCAAGAAGACAAGGTGCCATTAGCTTTTACTTGAAAGGTCATATTGAGGTTATTTTCCTCTAATTTGAGGGATTTCAACCATAGCAAAGTAAAATAAAATTTAAAAATCTGGTTAAGCAACCCCCCTATCCTGACTGTATCACAGAGAAATGAAGTTAAACATTGAATTGGACAATTACTGCAAAATTGCTCAACTCGCTTTTCAGTCCCCGGTGTCAGTTCTCTGTGTGGAAGAGAATGAATTCCTCCAAATTTAGGAACTGATCCTGGAACTTTTAGCCTGCCATTAACAGAAAAACCAAATATCAGGATATATTTTACCACTTTATAGATCAGCGCACTGAAGATATGTTTATCGAGAAGCACATGGGTAATCCCAACCTGGCTAGAAAATGGGTTGGGGTATCAGATGTGCAGCTGATCTCCCAGGGCTGGACGGAGATTCGGATGTCCCAGCTAAGCCATGGTGACTGACCCTAGATACGAGCTTTACCTGTCCTAAATACAGAATAATGTTCATTAGCCTCAGCATCGTAGCAAAAGGCTTTCCCCACATTTGGGATGGGTTAAGAGAGTGTACCTTGTCATTTCAGCTTAGCTGAAATATAGTTACTTCTTAAGCTGCAGGAACTCAACTGTACGGCTGAGCCTTAAGTACCTTTTTGTAACTTCAAGCATAAGCTTATGTGGTTTGCTGAGACAGGGCTTACATTTTGAAATTAATGCTAACATTTATGTCTGTGCTTAGTTTCAAGCACTTACATTGGACGTGGATTTATCCATTGAGGGGCTGAATTGTAAAGAAGAAACAAACCTAGTGGGATCATGTCCTGTGTAAATGTAATTCATAAATATTTGCAGAACCAGGTCTGCAGGTTCAAATATGTCCTGTAGCTCTTTTATGGCTTTGAAAATGTTACCTGTTCATTTTGTTACTTTTAATTTATTTTTTTTTTTGTTACCAGTACAGTGTTTGAAATTAATTTTCAAATGTTCTTCTCTGTTGATCAGGAAAAAAAACCCAAGAAGTATCTACACAGTGTTACCATGAATATTGACCACAAGGTGAGCAGGACCCTCTTTTTTGTCAGAAGCTTGCTTGTCAGCATGCTGGTGATAGATCAGATGTAAAGAAAATCACTTCTGCAAAACCAATTTGCTAAGGGGCTTGTAAAATCCATTTTTAAAAAGTTACTGAGGCGAAAAAGTGAAGGACCAGCCAACCAGATATTTTGATCGGTTCTTCAAGGTCAAAAACTGATTACTAATTCATCAAATATCTTACTGGTAGCACTGTTTGAAGAGCAAACAGCTCTGTGCAGATGTTCTACCTAATAACTCTAATACTATGGAAAGATGGGTAGGGTAGGAACAAACAGAATTTTTTACTTACTTTTGGCAATGCTACAATCATAGGAGCTGTGTTCTTCAAAGCACTGGCAGCCCAGTTCAGTGCATTGTCCATTGCCGTTACAGAAAGCGGGACACCAGAGGACGGTGAGGATTTCCTCCTGGGTAGCAGATGGGTGGTTTCCTACACGAAACATTCTGTTCCTGTTTCCTAGCACTCTTCTTTCGCACTCATTTTCCAAAAGGGCTATCAGTGCCCTCACCCAAGCCACGTCATCTTTGAGCTGCAGATCCAAAAGGCATATATCAATTGCCTCATCCATCCATTTTCCAAGGAGACCTTTACACACTAAGCCAATGGTGGAATTTGCAAGAATTTGGTAGCAAATCTCCCGAGCTTTGGTGGCAGTTAGGCCATTGGGAGTGGGCCACGTCAGTGGAAGTTTTGTCCGAATCCCTTCAAAGTAATCCTCTGGGAAGAAATATGCGAAGCTGTCTGAGTCTCTCTGGCTTGGGCCGTGCAAGGGGTGAAAGGATGAGTACTCATAATAGTCGTCTCGCCTTTTTGCTCTCCGTAGGTCTTCTTTTTGTTTGGTAGAGTTAATGGAATTGTTCTTTTTCATGTAAACATTGTGTGCAAAGGGTTTTAATCGGTTCTCGGGGCTACCTCGCTTTTGGACTGATTTAGGCAGATATCTTTGATCAAAAGAGTTGGTCAACAGTTTCTCATCTTTTCTTAAAGTAGACTTTATTCCTGAGTGAGAGACAAACTCTGATGTAACATCTAGATATGGGATTGCAGAGCTGTAATCCACATGATCGTAATGGCAACCAGAGGACGGAGGGAAAGGAGCCTGGAAGGCGTTCAGCCTGTTTACCACAGGCACAGACTTAGGGCTCTCCTTCTGACATCTGCAGTAGTTTTTCCTTTGCATCCCCTCAGAAGGTGCTGGAGTCTTGTCAAATAAACTCTTCCCTGGAGCTATTCTGATTTAAAAATAGAAAGAGATTAGAGGGAGGAAACTTTCAACAAATTAGTCTACAATACCAAGTAAACTTTCTTTCCCTGAGGCTGGGGAATGTATAAATTCCCACTCTGCCAAAGCACTTAAGAAAATGCTTAAGTTTAATCTCTGTTTTCTTTTGTCACTTTGGCTCTGCCCTTCTTGAGTTGTCCTGTACAATTTTTAGCACTACATCAGGATGTTTTAGTAACAGATGCTTAAGTGCTTTGCTGGAGCGTTGCCTAACTGCTTGACTTCTCTTTGCAGAACTTTCTCTAAGGTGCAGGTTACCCTTTGCGTATCGCACATGAAATAAGGCCTTGGATTTGTCCCCAGTGTGACTCAGATACAGCTTGGAGGATGACAAGAAAGAAGTATTTGTTTCAAATGCTTTATTGTGACTGTCCTCCCCTTACCAGGTGTTTTCTTTAAGACTTTGATCACTATGTTTTTTCTTTTAAATGTTTGTCTTTTTCCTTTATTTTTTTTTTTTTTCTGCATACTTCATTTCATTCTTGTCTTCTAAAGGGGCTGTCTTTGAGTTTTTCTTTTGACACAAAGCAGTTTTCTATTGATCATAGGGCTAGGTTATCACATAAGGTAAGGTGATTTTTTCCCCCCCCTTTTTAATTTAGTCCAGCTTTAATGATGGATGAACTTCTAGAGAGTTCAGTTTGAATAAACAGCCATGATTAAAGTTTATCTGGAAATTTCATGAGCACAAGATCTCTTATTGATCTTAGTTGTGCAGTACAAGAGGAATCCTGGAGCTTCATAGAAAAAGATATGCTTCTTATCCCAGTAGTCGGCAGCACTTTATTTCCAGACAAATTTGAAATATCACAAAAAAATTAAATTATTTTGGCATTAATTTTGTCTTGCAGCCAGAATGTAGGGATTTCAGGAAAGCAAAAGCATTTGCCAACATTTTGGAGCCAGACGCTAGATTCTGTGTTAGGAAGCATAATTGCCTTTATCTGATTTTTCCAATATATATTGAAAATGGCATATACGACATTATTATTTTGATCATTGATACAATACTACTTTTAAATAAAACGTCATGGTGACACAGGCAAAATGAACTAATTTGTCTTTCCGAAACAAGAGCCCAGACATTTATGAAACCACTTAACCCAATGTACAGGCAGAGCAGAACAGAGTACTTTTGTGGTTGCAGAAGTACACAACTATTCTGCACTTTCCTAGTCTAGGACAAGAAAACATATTTGGTGATTGAGGGAGTACTGAAATGACCTCTGGTCCTTTGGACAATGCAGTTTAGTGCATTAGTGCGGTGTTCCTCCAGCTCTGCCTGGTGGCGTTACCTGCAGCTGAAGCTGCCCAGACTCGTGGCATGAGCTAACCGTAAACTTAAATTAAGGCAGCAGAACTAGCTTTATCTTTGAGGGAACACTACATAAACTAGAGGATCTAGGGGAATATCACATATTTAATACACAATAAAAATCACATCAACTGGGACAGAACTGGGACAGAAATTAAAACACAAATGAAAATTTCAGTAAAATGAAACCTTTTCGCCTCGATATTTTATGGGAAAAAAGTCCATTGCTGTTCCTACATGAAACCAAATGCCTTCCTGTGGTCAGCTGTGGTCAACAGGACGGGGGCGTATGGTGTGAAAGAGATGGAGGCACTGAAAACCCCATCCTTCCTCACAGGCATACACAAACTGACAGCATCTCAGTGAGCTAGTATGTGCCTTCTGTGCCCTGCATAAGATGACTAGACTATCATTCCTCTTAGCTGCCCATTATAATCAAGGAAGAGCTGAGCACAAGTTTTTCAAACTGAGTTGTATGCTATTATAGAGACAGAGTTCAAAATTAATAACTTTGCTGCTGGTTTCTCAAAAGCCTTGAAAAATGGTTTGAAAAATGTATTTTACCTACTTAAAATACATGTTCTAAAATTCAGCTCTTCCTTGTCCATATGTTATTTAAGGGCTGGGAAGCTCTGATGTTGTTTTATTGTTTAAAAGTTGCACTGGAAAGCTGATGTTTAAAACAGATCTGTGCCATTCAGGGCCCCGCAGCTGCTTGAGAGAGGTGGGAGCCAGGGAAAGAACAGGACTGCCAGATGGTGAGTGCTCAGACTAGCTTCAGGTGCTGGAGGAAACCTAACGTGCTCTCAGTGTTTAAAATGAAATTAAAAACAGCAAGCAGAAAAAACACCCTCCAGGTTTTCTATTTTACTGCGCTATTTCTCCGTGGGTGGATTAGAGGCCAATCCAGTCTCCTCTGGAGGTGGCCTTACCCTTTCCAGTGGCTTACTTGTTTTTTTAACCAGGTTCTGAAGGTCCTTGAGAATCCATCCTTGGGAGTACTGCAAGGTGAAACTCATCACCCCTCTTGCCCTTCTCGCTTAGCAGGAGCTTCCCCTGCCTTCCCTGAAGTATCTCCAGCATACATGCTGAGCGCTAGGAAACTCCTTGCTGCTTTATAAGTGAATTCCTATCTATTGTGCTTTGGCTTCTGATCTCTCAGCAAACTTGCTTTGAACAGGTCCTCCGAAGGATCTTGTTAGCCCCTCTTTGGATAGTTAGCAGTTGGTCACTCTTGCACCAACATGTTTCTCTGTTTACCTTCCCAGAAGCAAGCTCTGGCTGATTATTGCATTATTAAGATGTTAAAGGTGGCTTTTGCTTCTAAATAGTGCCATTTGTAATGACGGATCAAAATTTCCATTAAATAGCGATTCTCTAAGCCCATTGAATATAACCAGAATATGGTAGAGGTGTTTGGTTTTCTTCTGAAATGTAACGGGTCTAAAGTTTCTTGTTCCTACAGGATTGTGCTAAGTTCCCATGCACAGATTAAGCAGTATGTTAAGGCTCTTTGCCTTATTTTTCTTTATTTGCAAAACATACTTCACAAACAAAACTGCACAGTCAGCCAAACCCAGTTTGGTTTTGGGAACACCTATTAGGCATGTTTAGAGTTCAGCAACAGGAATGAAAATGTGGGATACCGATCGGTAGGGATAGGGATAGGGATAGGGACAGGGATAGGGATAGGGATAAGGATAAGGATAAGGATAGGGATGAGGAGAAGGATGAGGACAAGGAGAGGGACAGGGAGAGGGACAGAGATATGTCAAAGCACCATACTCCTGGTTCCAGACCATCTGTCTCAGAAAATGGAAGTTTTTAGAGCTCACTGTCATCGTTAGTAGAGCAGATATTAAGTTTTAGCATGGTACATATATTACCACACTTTGTCAAAATGTAACATTTAATCTATACTCACACATTGTAATTAGTGTTCAGGAATAAAAGAACAAGGGAAATACCAAACCCTTAATTAATCCCTATTGTCAGTTATCTGCATTTTCTAGTGTGGGTGAGAACTGCATTTTTTTTAACAGCTGAGTGGGATCTTAACACAGCTGTTAACATGACATCACTTGCGAGTATAAAACTTCTCTCTCAGTAACTGCTTATGTGTATTGTGCTGGCTGAAAATTAAGCGCCCGTGATGTGCTGGTGGTCGTGGTCTCCCTGCTTCCCTGACTAGATGAAGCAGATATCTCTATCAGGTCATGAGGGGAGTATGTAATGAAATAAACCTATCAACACCCCTTGAAACAGTGCTACAGAGCATCTCCCGGGCCGGGATCCTCTCTTGCTTTGTACCTCCACTCCTCGATGAAGTCTTCCTCGGCCATATTGCTCAGGTCATTGCGCCCGATCCCATCAAAGAGGCCACACAAACCTCTGGTGCTGTTGAAGTCGCTGCCCGGTGTCCTCACCGTCAAACCCATTCCCCACTCGCTCATGTCGGCTCGCACAAACGCTCCCGAAGGGAACAGGATCTGAAGAGGCAGAAAAAAACCCCGGTGAATTGAAGCTGTTACCAAGCTTTTGATGCAATAAAAAATGTCCCTTTCTATAAACCAAAATGTCAAAGGAGGACATTGGAGATGGTGAAGGTAATTCAAGATCACTTATATACACTGTAAATATTTATTTGTGCTATTATTTAGCTTGCTTTCAGATTCTATGGTAGTAATATCTGATAGCATTACATACATATAAAACTGCACAAGTACTTTCTTTCTAAATTAATAATTACATCCATTGAAGTTTTCCCACTGGTAAGTTACCAGCTAATTTTTGAAGCGACTTCCATGACAATAAGGCCACCCTTGTGTCTTTGCCTGGGAAATCATTTCTTTTAGATAAACTGCCAAGTCTGAAAAACAGCTTTCTTCTCTCTGAAAAATCGTTTCATTTTCCAAGGCCAGATTACCCAGAAAATGATTGTGTTTTAAAGTGGATAAAGCAATTTTCTCATTAAAGAACTTGTGGTAGGCTTACACTGACCTTTAAAAGAAAAAAAATCTTGAGGTTAAGACAAAGAAGTAACTGTGTGGATAATGTATTTTTCAGATTGGTGTCCCAACCAAATAATAAAAAAAAAAACAAAAGAAAAAATCTGTTCAACTGAAATATATTTTTTCTGTTTCCTTTATTTTTACAGGTAAAAAGAAAATTATTCTGAAACTGACCTGTGCCAGGAGTGGGAGCAGGAGCACTCCATCCTGATAAGTAAGCTTAATTTTTTTCTTTTTTTATCCAAAATTAAATGTTTTCAGTTAATCTTAAAAAGTACATTAAATAGTTGGAAACATCTCATTACAATAATTTCAAAGTAATTATTTTCTTTTTTTTTAAGTCACCCCTGCCCAACTATAATTTATTCAGCCAAATAATGTCCGTTGCTTTCGGTTCTTTCAGTGAGGATTTTTTTGTCCCTTATAAGTTCCTCCCCACCAAATCTATTCATATCTGTTATAAACCACCTAGTTTATATTTGTATTTCTGTGCTGGAATCCAGAGATTACATTTTGGCTGCACTAAATAATAACCTTGCCCATTTTAGCTTCTCAGACATCATTTCAGGCATGAGAGTACTTTTTGAGGAGCTCTCCATGAGTGATCTCCTCGTCCAGCTGGTCAGAGCCGCAAAGTGTCACTGATTGCAATAACAGCCAGGGACACTATGTTTTGAACACAGACCCTCTGTGTTTTCATCAGGGCAATTGGAGCATCCTTTTTTAAAAATTATTGGCCTTGGTGAATCACAGAATCATAGAATGGTTAGAGTTGGAAGGGACCTTAAAGATCATCTAGTTCCACCGCCCCCTGCCATGGGCAGGGACACCTCCCACCAGCCCAGGTTGCTCAAAGTCCTGTCCAGCCTGGCCTTGAACACCTCCAGGGATGGGGCAGCCACAGCTTCTCTGGGCAACCTGGGCCAGTGTCTAACCACTCTCAGGGTCAAGAATTTTTTCCTAATATCTAATCTAAATCTACCCTCTTTCAGTTTAAAACTGAAATAATGGAAGTCATCACATAAAACCAGTTCTTTGAATACATCAGAAGATCTTGGCTGTACCTCCACGTTGGTTGTACGTCTTACTTCCCAAGATAAATTTAAAAAAAAAAGATTCCCTAACAGAAAGCTCAAATGGCCCAATGAGCTAAATTTTTTCTTAGTTGTTTTGTAGGTAGAGCAGGAGAACTGCAGGTGACACAGGGTCGGCTAGGATTTGATTTCCTTCTTCAGGTAAACACGTGCCCTCTAATTACATGTTTTACTACAGGGAGAAGCATTTCCTACAAGGCTGCGTATAAAATCCTTGCAGTCAGGACTGCACGAGCTGCCTCAGTCTCCAGTGCTGTCTGGATAAATATTTCCAGGTGTGGATTTATTTCAGAAATTCGGAGGGCTGTAACCCTTTTATCTCCTGCTGCCCTGGGCAAGGCACCACATCTGCCACTGAGGACCTAACAACTGCCCAGGTTTTCTGTAACCCACCTGGAGGTAATGCTGGTGGTTGAGGCTTTGAAGAAGATTTTTTTGAGACCTCAGTTTACACAGATATATAGCGACTGGCTGCTGGAAGCTGCTACCTTGCACGGAAAAGAGAATGACTTCGCCCCATTCAAAGCATCGGCTTTGAATGGCACAGGAGCCATGGGGGAGCCGGCTCCTACCCTGCCCAAGGTTGGTGATGGACAACTGCTGAGGAAATCGGGATGCACTGTGCAGTGTGGCCTGATCAGGGACCATATTCACTGCTGTGCAGTTCCCGCAGGTTCCCGTTCAGATGAGGGCAGGACTCACGTTCGTGTCCCGAGGGTGTCCTGATTTGTTTCACTGAGACTTACACGAGGCATAAATGAGAACAGGGATTCCTTGCTAAGATTATTCTAGTCATAAAACAGTAATTATATTGCATTCAGTTGCAAAATGAAATGACAGCTTGCTTCCTGCTTTTCCTCTATTCTATAATTAACAGACTTTCAATTACTAACTTACCAAGATCTATTCCAAGTGAGATCGTGAGGAGAGCCAAGCACAGGCACTCCCTGCGTCATTCTGGCTCTATTGTGGACCTGTCTTCACCCAAAACATTTCCTGGCAACAAATCTCGATTATACAACTCTAGGATAAAATTATCTTCTTGGCTGTAATTTGTGGCTCTTCTCCTCACCAAAGCCCCTGGTGCAGCCTGCTCTTATTCTTCCAGTGATTTCACTGGATTAGTGTGGATAAGTGATACTTAACGCAAAGTATGTCATGGCAATATATTTTCTAGGCAAATACTTTAAATTATACCAAATGTTGCACATTTGCAGCCCATTTTCATGGCTTTTGGGGGCTATCAGGATCTGACTCATACTGCCTTAGTATTCCACTCTAAAACGACATTATTCTGCTACCTGTGATGTTTCCTTGAATATTTATATCGTAAGCTCTGCAAAGAAATTTGCTTTATGTGATGTGGTTGGGTACTGCCTGGTATAAACAAACTGAGAGAGGATTGCTGTACTGTGGAGAGTAAGTGACAATATTGGCACTCCGCTATGTCTCCAAGAAATTTCCAGAGATATTTGTTTTGTTTTGTTTTACATTTTGTTAAACTAACACGTTAACCAGCTTCTTCCCTGCATCTCGTTTTTCGGTACATTTTGCTGCAGGCGCTCTTATGGCTTCAGATAGATATTTTTGTAGCAACTTCATTAATAATTCAGACATATTAAACTCGCATTTTTTAAGAACAACAACAACAAGAGTCCTCAAATATCCTCGTACTGTTATTTTTCTCCCTCCGTAGGACTTTAGGATTTTGACATGTGGCGATGCCTCAGTGCTTTTGACGGCTAGCTGGGGTCTGCTCTGTCGAAAATGGCCATTGCAGGTGTCCAGCACCACGGTGTCACCCCCTTCTCGCGCAGCTACGCCGCAGTTGCAGGCGGTGGCGGAGCGGTGGCCTCCGCAGTCCCACTGCCGAACATGCACCTCGAATGCCCGCGACGCGCTCTGGCACAAAAGGAATGTGCCGATTTTATAGTTATCGTAGCGCCTGGACAGCAACAAACAATAAAAAAAGAGGATTTAGAGACCCTGAGCATCCACTGGTGACGGCTCTTTGTTGGTACTCGTACAACAGCATTCCTTAATTAGGGCAACGCGGTGGCTGGCCTTGGAGGAGGGAAAAATCAACACACGGGGAAGCGTTTCCCCGGCACCGTAAGCAAGGGAACGCTGTCGCAGTTATTAGCTGGAAGTGCATAAGAATTCGTGTGAAAAGCGGGTAGCTGTCTCCCAGCTGCTGCTATGGCAACGGGCATGGATAAAAAGGATAAACATTTGATAAAAAGCAAATGGGAAAAAATCCCTGCCTCCAGGCCTTAATAAATATGTTTTGGTTCTAACCGGATGCTTTACAGCATGATATTCTTCAAAGCAAAATCAGTGCTCAAATCACCTCTTCTGTGACTAATCACCAACTTTTACAAGGCTGACTGTGGCTAGGTGAATACTTCATGTGGAAAACGGGGATTCTACTGAAAACCTGTAAAAATGAAGTTAGTTCCCCTCCCTTAAGAACTTTACTGTAAGCACAACTTTCACTCTAAACAGGTTGGCAATCAGCGCATTGCAGTGCGTTGAACAATTTGGGACTTTAATTCTCTGTACAAAAAGTCCTTCCTCCATCTAAGTGAGGCCATGAGTAGAATAACTTGAATGACTTTGCTGGCCTTTGCCCTCGGCATCAGCCAGGTAAAACTCCTCCCGGCTGCAGCCCCTTTGATTTCCAAAACACGGACCTGGGAGACGATCCTCCTCTGCTTGTCCTTTGTTTTCTCACTCCATAAGCTTGTCTCATTCTTCTATATTTTATTCTAATGTGATGTATAAAATAAAGAAAACACTAGCTGCATACTTTATATATATGTTTCTGGAGTTATCTTCACACAAGCCAACATCTGCCATCTTTAAAAGTGATGGCTTCTTCTGCTTCCTTTGAAGGCACTGCATTTTGTTTTAAGCATGATTTTTATCAATTCATTTTTCTATGGAAACTAATCTATAAGCTTATCATAATAAACATTCTTTTCTACAATGAAAAAAAGAAAAGGTAAAAAGGAATGTATAAAACACTTCAACTAAATAAAAGGATTATTTTTAAGTTCTGTGATACAAGCATCAGTATTTTTTCAGTCTAATGCTTCCTGTACAGAGGAACAAATGGTTAAAGAACCAAGAATTTTTAGCTTGTATATATCTGCATTTTATTTCTCTTCAGAATAAAAACCATAGAAAGGTATGAAGATTAAATCACAGTAAGAATTTAAACTCCAACTGCTCTTCTCTGCTAGAATACATAGCTGACTTTATCTTTCATCTTGAAAAACTTAGTGAAGTTGGCCATAAACCAATAAGATTTTGAATGGGTCTGTCTCATCTTATTTTCTAATCAGGTACATAAATCCTAAGTACACTGCGCAGAAGCTGTTGCTAAGATTGATTAGAACTAAAGACAACATAAAAAATAGATAATCTCTTTTAACATTAAGTACTAGCTCCATTTGGACATCTTCATAGGAGAGACAGAGGAGATAGGATATTTTATGAGAATCGCCTTCCATAGTTTCCTTCAACAGGTGGAGCTTAGAAGGAGAGGTGATGAAGGAAGGAAAGAGCGCTTGATGCAAAATAACGCATCAGAATGGCTGTACCCAGACTAATCAGCTGTATCTGATAAATAAGACTGTATTAACATATCCATATAAATACCATTGCAGCTATAGGAGCTATTTACTGCTTCATAAGCATTGACAGTGGACCCAGTCCAACTCTCCTGGAAGTCACTCAGAGTCGTTCATTTAAGTCATGGCATAGATTGTATAGCACGCAACAAACCCACAATGTGTCTAAACTGAAGCCTTCAGCTGCCTTTGAATTACTTGAATGGATAATTGAATGTAGTCAGGTAAACTTTTGTGACGTTTATACAACTGTAATTGCAATAATAATTCTTTGGACAACATTTGAGAAATCAAATTGCATCCCTGTGGCGCTAAAAGCATGACGTAGAGTTTCTGGAGCTCGTGCACGAGGGAGCTCTGCGAGTTCTTTGTGAACTGGACACTTCTGCTTGTGTCTAAATTGCCCTCCACAGTGCACTTCCCCATCCCATTGCCCTAACAGTCTGTAGCAATGGATGTACTGGGTGGAAAGAGGTTCCCTCCTTCCCCATCCATGTGCTTGGCTTGTTTTTCAAGGAGTGCATCAAGTTCTTGTCCCAGCATGAAGTCATGGCTCAAATTGTACACTTAATCCAAGAGTTATAAAATGCTCCTAAGTCTTTGGTTATGACAGTGAGATGCTATAGGAATAATTTCTGTCAGATCACCATAACAGAGGGACAGAAAGGAATATAAACGTATGTAAACGCTTACTACTGGTACCTTTATACTAACACAGTACACTTAATGTTTACCAAGCTGCACTTCAGTCATTATTGTGGCTGCTCCTAAGGTTTTTCCACCACAGTTTCACCACCAAATAATT